TATTTAGTATATTATACTAAGTATAATTATTATATATTAAGGCTGTGCAACAAAAGTGTAATCTGCATGGGAATAGTATACAAACTTAATGAAAATTATCTGTTTCCCCCCAAAAAAAAGAAAAAACTTTTTTGGGGGGTAATATAGAGATTGAAGTCAGGGCCTTTGCACTAAGCTACATCCCCCAGCACTTTTTAAAAATTTTGACACAGGATCTCGCTAAGTTGCCCAAGCCAGGTTCGAACTTGTAATCCTCCTTCCTCAGTCCCCCAAAGTGGTGGCCAAAACCTTATTTTTAATATAATATATAGTCCTTGCCTTTTATGTGTGTATGGAAACAATCTCCTACATTTATAAAACCTAAATACCATAACCACAGATTACTTGGTGCTTTACTTTTTTTTTTTTTTCCTATTTGCAGATCTGATACCTAAAAATTGTTAATTACAGTGGCTAATTTACTTTGTAAAAGGCAATTATTTGAAATAAAATTGTAAGAATATTACTGAGGGCTTTGGGTCTTGAATCAACCTTCTGTCCTTATTTTCAGTGACACATCATGTGTTTGATATTTTATATTCAGAACACGTACCCATAGATCAGACCAGTGACTGCACTATTAGAAGTCGGGGTCTTTTTGAAACATGGATCCATATGTGCTTGCACTTGACTTATATTAACTGGCTCCTAAGCTAGGTGTCTATCAACAAAACAGTCTTTCATGTTTAGTAGAATTTCAGATTTATCACTTTTGAATTTCAGAAATTTTGTGTCACATTACTTGAAACATTGTTTGCCTCTTCTGTATGTTCTCTAGAAACTATATGGCTTGTATGTATAAACTGCAGCTAATTAGTTGAGAATCTAAGCTCTAAGTTTTTTTCCTTGCATCTTAGGTTTATACCAGATGATATTACTTTTGATGATGAGCCTAAGGATATAGCCTCAGAAGTGGATTTAACAGCGTATAAACCAAAATATTTCACATCTGCTGCAATGGGAACATCAACGGTATCTTAACCTTTAAAAAATTTATAGCTGGACTCCATTCCTTTAAGTAGAGACATATATTATTTACTTATAGCATCCTTAGAATCAGAAAATATTCAAAATATTAATGCACAAATACAAATAGAAATGAGACACATGTGTTTGCATTATCTACTACATCTGTTTGAACTAAGTTAATTTTAGTCAGTTGCTTCATAGTGTTTCTCCTTTCTGTCTTGCCCACATACTGTTACAAACTAGATTCTTAGGCGTTGGGGACGTAGCTCAGTGGTAGAGCCCTTTCCTAGCGTGCACAAGGCCTTGGGTTTGATCCCAGTACAGTCACAAAAAACAAACAATAGACAACCAAAACAGCTATATTATTTATTAGGCAATATGTCAATTATTAGTATTCTAGGGAATAGGGGTAAGGAAATAACAGATTACCTCAAATGACAGTTAAATAAAACTAGTGAAAATGTAAAATGGAAGCACATTTTTCCACAGATAGGATCAACAATTTTAAAAACAATAGAAGTAGAATAATAACCAGTAGTTGTCCCATTAATGGTTAGTAACAAATAGTCAAAAGGTTTCTGTATGTTGAAATGACTTGTTACTTAGGTCACTAACTTTTCTCTTCCTCACCTTAAATCTCTACTCACAGCTGTACTCTGAAGTAGCCAACCTGGCTTCCCTTTGCCTTTCCTGTGTGACAGACCGCTAACCTCTTCCAAGAAGAGGCTGGTGGCAGAGAGAAATACAATATGTGCCACCTGTGGTTCTGTGGAGGATACTGTGTAGTGTTGATTAGTTGCTGAGTATAGTAAAACCCCACCATTGTGCAATAAATGAAGTCTAAAAGAATCTCATGAAATGTAAGATCCTGTCATTTTCAAGACTAATGTAATAGCCTTGCCCAGCATGTCTCACCAGTGAGTCTCAAGTTCCTGAGTCCTGGCTGTATCATCAGTATCCTTCCCAATTTCAGCAACAGTTTGGTGGTCATCAGCTCATACTTGATTATCAGAATAAAACTAATTCTGAATCCTGTGGCTAACTGGAACTTCTAAATCAGTGGCAACAATTTTAAGGGTCCCTTGGTTAATTGATGCTTTTTATTTTGTCCTCATAAGAGAAAGTTGGCTGGAGGTTGGGGTGGTAAGGATATGGGACCCACCCTGTGATAAGTATAAAACCCATGTTGGGTTACATATGAGTAGAGAGCAAGAGCCATTCACTCTCCAATCATGTTACAGATGAATTCATGTCTCGTGGGGGTTTACTATACTTCCAGCTAATAGAAACCTTTCTCATTGGTGATTCTTAATCTTTTTTGGAAAATGGAGCCCACTGAGATTATGTTGCTTCATCAACAGATTTTATGTGGTTTGTGGATTTCCCATAATCTTAGAACTTCTGGTGAAAAATATGTTTTCACCATTTGTTCAATATTAACTTTTTCACCAATACTTTATTTTTCAGTGTGTGTACAATTAAGCCACACATTTGTATTCCCATTAATGGAATATACTGCATATAGCAGAGATTAGGAGGAAGGTGCTAGTTAATAAAAATGATTCTCTTTCATAAGTAGGATACTATTAATCATGTCATTTAAACTTACTCTTGCATATCCAAGTTAACAATATATATTCTTTAACAAGTTTGAGTTGTTGATTCCATTTTTGTTTCGGGGTTTTTTTTTGTTTTTTATTTTCTTATTCATTGATAAAAGGTGGAGATCACTTGGGATGAGACTGATCATGAAAGAATCACAACACTCAACAGGAAATTTAAAAAGGAAGAACTTTTGGACATGGATTTTCAAGCCTACTTAGCTTCCTCTAGTGAAGATGAAGAGTTGATAGAAGAGGAGCCACAAGGTACTTGTTAATCATTTAGTAACTCATTAATGGAAGTATGTCTTCGGCAATAATTTAAAGGGAAGACCCAAACTAGTTCTTAAATTTCTATAGATAGTATCCGAAAAAAAAATAGTTAGTGTTTTCTTAGCCAGAATTTCTTCAGATGTAAACATTTTTTTTAAACCTAATCTAACAAAAAAGCTGGCCTTTTGGACTTTTCCCAGTTCATACAGTCACATGCTTTCTTAATAAAACTTTAAAATGCTCTGTTAACTCTTGCTTTTAAATAGGGAGCTTCTTTTAGATTGATTAAATATTTATTTACTACATTGCCTTTTTCTCAATTAGTTTAGAATGTAGACTTTCCATTTCTGAAACTGTCCTATAATTATAATTTACTTCTTGAACTGAGTAATGTCTAAAGGCAATAATATTTTACCCTCCTGGGTAATACAGAAATTTTTAAACAACTTATGCTATCACTCTATGTTGTAATTCTGGCCATTTTAAGTCCTACAGGATGCAGTATTACTGTTTTATAATGTCATTGTTTAAATTTCCCCTCATTTTCTAAATATCAGACCTCTATCTGGAATCATTTTCCTTCTGGTTTAAGTACATTCTTGAAAATTTCCTGTAGTGTCTGATAGTATCAAACTCTCTTGAGGTTTAGTCTGGTCTGAAAATATCCTTACTTTACTTTTGTAAAGACTTCTAATTGGCATTCCTTTCCACCACCATATTAATAACATTGTATTGGCTTCTGACTTCATTGTTTTGGGAAAGTCAGCTGTGTAACTTAAAAATCTCTTGAAAGTTGTCTGGAATTTTTTTTCTTTGACTTTTTAAAGTTTTCACTTCATTTTTAGTCTCTCTTCAACTTATCCCCAGCACCCACCTATCAAGCAAACAAACAAAATATCAAAACAACTAGATTTTTTAATAGGTAATAATGTCATTTATTAATACTCTAGGGCAGTGATGGTGAACCTTTTAGAACTTTCAGTTTTAAGGAACAGCCCGCTGTAGCATGAGTGCCATAGGTTCACCACCCTTGCCCTAGGGAATGGGAAGGAAGTAACAAATTACCTCAAATTGCAGTTAAAATTAAAAAGTATTACATTTTTCAGTGATATTTGTAAAAATAGATTTCTGGCCAGGGATTTTGCTCAGTGGTTCCACCGCCTGCCTCACAAGCGCAAGGTCCCGAGTTTGATCCCCAGTACCAAAAATAAAATAAAAATAAAAATAGATTTCTTTTTATTTATTAAGTGTGAGGATTTTTGGCTTTCTTGAATTTGGGGAGTGATATATTTTATCAGTATCAGAATATTCTTAGCTATTATATTAGTTACTCTTCTATCCTTTTGGGACTGCAATTAAATATATGTTAGATCTTTCTACGTATCTTCCCTATCTCTCCTATTTTTAGCTCTTGTCTTTCTGTACTGCATTCTGAATATTTTCTGTCTTCCAGCTTACTAACTGTCTACTTGTCTTTTCAGCGGTGTTGAATTTGCTGACAACCTATCCATTGGGTTTATTTTTGTGGCACTGGGCATTGAGCAAGGACCTCACATGCACATGCTAGGCAAGCAATCTACCACTGAGCTGCATTTCTAACCCTTTTTTTTCACTTTGAGACAGCGACTTGTTCAGTTCCCCAGCCTGGCCTTAAACTTGTGATCCGCCTATCTCAGCATCCTGAACAGCTGGCGTTACAGGTGTGCTACACCATTCCCACCTCATTTAACCTTGGTTGCTACATATTTCCCTTCTGGAAATCCTGTTTGGCTATTTTTTATGTCAATAGTACCACTTTATTTTTTATGTTTTTATGTTCACTACAGAAGGTTTCAGCACATTCTTGTATTTCTATAAATAATCAAAATTTTATAGTTTTGGTGGTTTTTTTTGTACCAGAGATCGAACTCAGGTCCTTGTGCTTACAAGGCAGGTGGCGGAACCACTGAGCTAAATCCTCGGCAGAATTTTGTAGTTTTGTGTTTTTCATTGTTTTTGTTCTGCACCATTATAGATTTTATTTTATTTTTAATTTTGAGACGGGGTCTTGCTCAGTTCCCTAAGGTTCCCTAAAGTGGACTCAAGTTCATGATTCTCCTGCCTCAGCCTCCCAGAGTACTAGAATTACAGGCCTGCACTACCACCCTTGCTTTATACTCTCCGGCAATTTCAGTATTTCATGTTTTCAGATTGGTTTCTCTATCATTTACTTGTGTACTTCATTAACTTTTTGTATTGTTTTAACATTTGCAAAGAGGGTAGCCTTCATAAGAGAGAGAACTTTCATTTACTTTAGTCTAGGACCATATTAAGATTTAAGGTTTGACATTCCCTGACAGGCGATAGATACAAGTCAATAAAGGACTGGTTTCCTTTTTCCCTCTGAGACCCTGCTTTGTGTGGGGGGGTGCTATTTAAAATGCCCTCCTTCTAAATAGGCCTTTAGCTTTTGTCTTCTTGGCCGGAAAGGCTGCCAAAACAACAATTGAGTTTCATAGCTGTGTATTCCATGGGTCAGGAAGTAGAAAAGACTACCTCTAGTATTTCCTTCTTGATTTTGACATGGTAATTATTTGTTAACTTGGCAGTTTTTTTGAAAGTTTTCGTTTTTAAATCTCTTCCAAGCTTTCAAAACGATTTTTTAAATACTTAACCAGCTTGACATTCTCAGTAAAAGGGTTAGTCTGAAGTACTAGTTTGCCTAATGGAAGTAGAAATTCTAAGATTGTCCTCATTTTTTAAGAATTTCTTTTTTGATACTAGAAACGATTAATGGTGTAGTTTTAAGTTGTATATGAAGTTTCTTAAAAATAACTCATAAAAATGAGGCCACAGAAAAAAATAAAGCCAAGAATAATTCTGTTTGGAAACTTGGTTGCTTCGTTATAATTTCGTATCAGTGTTTAGTTGATATTACCTATCTGTTGTCTTCATTCTTATCTAATAGAGGAATTCCCAACTATAAAAAGTTAGGAATAAGAGATTAAGTGCTGACAGAAAGTGAAGAACCATAAATGTTAAATATAAATATCAAATTTTTTTTGACATACAACTTAACATTTTTCAAAAGTGTTCTTTTTGGTGTTCTCTTGCATAATGTATTGTTGTTAATAGCCTAATAGCAAATTAAATAGATCCAAAATGCTTCTTTCAATTAATGGAGGGCCATTAAGCCTTGCCTTTCTTAGATCCTGTGATTGGTCTATTATACTTATGAAGATAGTGCTTCATTTAAAAAATTTTTTCATAAAATATTAATCTTCAACAGTATTCCATAGATGGAATGGAAAATCATGTTTAATCATGGTAATTTATTTGTTCGACATCATATATTAATAAAACCACATAATTGCTTAAGTATTTAACAGTCTTTGAAAATGTATAATTTAAAATGGTAGTTATATTAGGCACAAAAGACCACTTTTTTTTAAAAATTTTTATTTCATTGGTACATTTTAGGTATACAATATAATAACATTCATCATTCAAAATTTGCACCTTTACATAGTCTCTCTTGGTTCTTATTTTTCCCTCTTCCCCTGCTCTCCCTTAAACACCTCCATCCCTCCCTGTTTACAGAGACTTTGTTTCCATTTTTTCATTTTCTCATATTAATTCCATTCCCTTCTTTCCTTTC